GTATAACTCTATCAATTTTAAATATTTTGAGTTGATTATTTTTTCTATGGGTAATTATCATCATCTTCAACAACTTCTCTTCACATGACAAGATCCAATTATGCAAGGAAAATCATCAAAAGTTGAAAGGGGTTCCAAGTCATTTTGACACTCTCTGAGCTAGGGTTTGGTGAATTCCAAGGACCATATCTTTCTCATTTTTTGATATTTTTAATTAATTCCAAATCCATGAATCTCTTTAAAGGGTACTTAACAAGTTATCTTCAAGGGTTTAAAGCTAATTTTGGGTGGAAGATCACTAATGGTTGAAGAAGATTACAAGTCCTTTGAAAAGGCTATCAAATTCTCTTGTGTGACTTCAAAAGATCATAAATTGATCATATTTTATCTCCTTGAGCTCATTATTTTTCTACAATAATCTTTGGTATGTCTACTACAACTTTGGTTTAATATGCAAGACTTGAAAATGCTTGGAAAGTTGTTTAAGAATTGAAAAGATTATAGGTCTTTTATGAATTTCCCCAAATTTGTTCATCATCTTCCAAAGACTATAACTCTTTCAATTTTTATGATTTTTGAGTGATCTCAACTCCATAGTTCAATTCAAGAGGTCTATTTCATTTCATATTCAAGGATCAATAGCTAATTATAAATGGAGGGATATGTAATTTCGAAGAACATTATAGGTCACTTTGAGGCTTAACACTTAGAAATATTTCTAAGTACAAAAATATGTGTGTTTTTCTCGATTTCAAAGTTGAATAACTTTTTGATCAAATATCCAAATGAAAACTTTCAAAGCACATTGTCAAGATTGATCATTCAACTATCCAAAGAATCCAAGATTGCACCATAAAGGTCCTTGAGTTGCTTGCACCATCGCTGCAAAGTCAGTACCTTGAAACTAAGGTTTTCTCTCAAATTCATGATTTTATTTCCATAAGCTGGCTTCTAATCACCAATTTTGTGTGGGTTTTTTACTTAAACATGTTTAACAAACTTGCTCGGACTTGATTAAGCATCAAAACACATGAATTGAGTGAGTTTTGATGGATTACAAGTCACACTTTGCTCATTATGATGGTGCACACGAATTCCACTCATACTTGATCATTTCTCTCACTTTTTGTTTCCATCATGCTCAATTATAAATAAGGGACACATTCGACTCATTTCCCGAAGCTTGATAGCCAGAATCACCCTACCAATATCCTACAAGAACTCTTGAGCTTGAGTTTCAATTTCTCCTTTCCTCACCTTAATTCACAAAAAAAATATACTCAGTTAGCTTCCTTGACACTTATTGAAGTTAACCAGACCATTAGCAATAAAAATCGTGCATAGAATCGAGTTACAAAAGTTCAATTGCAGAGCCAAGTTGTTGAACTTCGTTCAGGTAAAATTCTCCACCATTTCACTTCAAATAAATTACTAAGATGTAGTCTCTTCTTCTCCGAAGCTCATGCTTCTTCTGCTTTTCATTTTCATGGCGAATTGATCATTTAATTTTAAAACTCATTTTCACTTTTTCTTCTGGTTTTTTCCAAATCAATTGAGCTACAGTTTATATAAATTTTTTGCGAGGGTACAATTGTCTTCGTCTTGATGAGGCGAATCGAGTGGCACCGGTCTGGACCTCTAATTTATCCATTTGCGGAACCTGCAACTTGTATGCGACTGGAGGTTTAAGATGACATGCGTGTCATCTTCAACCAATGACAAGGCGCCACTTATTTTTTCAAATCTGTTTAAGAAATAAATGATTCGATGGTTTATTCACTTATGTCCATATTATGCACAATGCGTTTGATCCTTTAGATTAGCTTAATAACGTGTTTTGACATTGATCCAGTGGTCTACATTTTTTTAGCTTTATTTTTATTTCCTTATTTTTCTATTTAATTGTTTTAAACTTCAAAAATTCATAAAAAATTAATTTCAACTTCTAAAATTTTGAAAAAATTATCAAAAATACTTTTGATTTTTATCTTACTTATTTTTATTTTTTCACAATTTTATTTTGTAATTTGATATTTTTTTTAATGATTTTTCACTTTATTTGATTTGTTTTAATTGTTTAAAAATACGTTTTGGTTATTTTAAATTCTAGAAAAATTATGGTAGGATCCAATGACCTCTTGACAAATATTGGTGATTTCATTTAATTTTTATTTTTCATTTTACTATTTTTCAATAAAATGGCTTATTTTGCTTATTTCTTTATAAGTTAAAAATAGTTTCTGACTTTAAAAAATTCTAAAAAATTTTGTCAACACTTGTTGACTCATGTTTGACCTCTGATATTTTTTAAATATTTTTATTTGGTGTTTTAATACATGTTGTATATTTTACCAACTATTTCCTTTTTAAATCATTTAAATTTTGTTTTATATTAAATATATTTAATTATTTTTTGATTGGTCCTGATTTAGAGACACTTGAATGTTATTTTAAGACATGTTCCTCAACCTCATTAGATCTTGGGTGTTGATAGGTTGAGAAAGCAAATCCACCAAAATGGATGAATGATGTTGATGATATTTGAAACCCTAATTTCATTCGATACATTGGTTATACTACCATTCCTCTCCCTCTTCATCTTATCCCTTTCTTGTTTTTACTTGTGCTACATGTTTTTGGAGAATGGTCTATATATCATTTTTCTATTATGTTTGGTACATATATTACTATTGACCGACCTCAAAATAGGTGTGACTTCTACATAAGTCTACTTATGATTGCTTAACATAGCGCTAAATTGGTCCCAATTTGAAAAATGATCATTCATGATCCAAACCTATGTTTGTAAGCCCAAGTATGTTTAATTTAAAACCTTGGATCGAATAACTTTGAAGTTCATTGTTAGGAGGCTTTGATTCTATCAATCCTCTAATGAACTTCATGATTTTTGGTCTAAGTGAATCATTTGATCATAGTTGATCATATGTGCTCACCTTAAGCACTTGAAATGAATGATATAGTTGACAAAAAGCAAATGAAACTTGTTGTTGAAAAGCTTTAATTTTATCAATCTTCTAATGAGTTTTCAAAAGCAAGCTTCAAGATGGTCATTCAACTAACCTTTTGTTATATTTGACATCTAACTTTTAATTCACTAACAATTAACTTTACTTTATGCCTTTATCTTGTGCCTTTACTATTATGTACCATTTATTTTTTAGCATTTATATTTCATGCCATTTTTTTTCTTTTGCTCACCTGAGCATTTATTTTCTATGTCTTTTTTTTTCTTTGCTCACTTGAGCTTTCTTTTCTTTTAAAGACACTTAATAATAAACTTGAACCTTAAAAGAATTGCTTCTTTATGGACTACTTCGTTACTATCCTTGGCATTGTGGAGTTGTGGATCTCTCGGACTTTGGATTAGAAGCCTTGATACTTGGGAACCTTGTTGCTCTATTGTTATTTTGTCTGAAGTTCTTGGGGTTTACTCCAAGGTATTGGGTTGATATTTTGTGTGTGTAGGTTATTCTGATTTTATGCTTTGCCCGTGATTAAGAATTCCTCTGTATACAGTCATTACTCTGCCCAATTTTTGTGAAGACTTAATTCATCTGAATCTTGATGTTCCTCAGAGGTTTAGTATTTTTGCTTGCTTGGTTTTAATCCAAAGTATGGGAATTCTATATTTACTTCTTATGTCAAGTATTGGCTTCTTGTTTCTTAGACCATTATTTTCCTTAGCTTTTACTTTATGCTTTAGGATATTCCCTCCATCTCATCCTATCTTCTTTGATTTCAAAAATATTCTCACTTGAACCGCTTTCATAATAAACTTGGACTTATGTCCATGCATTTTCAAAAATCTTTTCTTAAATCAAGCTTTAATCATACTTTGATATCCTTCTCAAGACTAAAAGTCAATTATCCTCATTCAAACCATGTTGCCACTTTGGCTTTTTACTTTTAAACTTTTCTCCAAAGATTAGACTCTTGTTGATTCTTGTAGTGATGCAAGCTATTATACTTCTATGATATGTAGTAAAGAGAGTTATTTTCAACTTGGGTGTTGAGTGATGGATTTTAAATCCAAGTTATATCCTTCACTTTTAGATGACACAAATGCTTCTTTCTCATAATTGTGGGTAGTAAGTATATTTTCCACTCAGATATGACGATGATGTCTATTCTCTTAAAATTAGCCAACAAGCATGTGTTTTAAAATTTTTAAGGTGAACTACGAGTACCCCAATCCCCTTTTGCATGGAAGGTGGTAGTAGGCACTAAAGGTTCGCAACTGCGGCGGGTGCAAAAATTATAAAAAATACTTCTTTCCTCATCTCCATCGTCTTATTTTGTGTACACCTTTTATAGCCAAAATACACATATTTTCAAAGAGGTTCCTGCGGAGTACCGTAGATGTTTAGGTTTCTAATACCTTCCCTTTGTATAACCAACCCTCATATCTAGATTCTCCCCCTCTTTTTTGGGTTTATTCGCTCTTTTCCATTTCCTTTGGAAACAATAAAGCGCGGTGAAGATCTTATTTGATTTGTGCAAGTTAAGTCAATCAAATGGCTTAGTCTCAACATTTCTACCGCTACACCACTAAACGTGAGAAATGGAAACATAGACTTAGGCCTATTCCTAAAAAGAGGTTAGATAATGAAGTATTTATGAGTGGTCATTGGACACCAACTTAGGCTATTGGTAAAGAATTCCAGGTTACAAATTCATTCAACACATAAGAATTTATTATTGATGTTTCCAAAAGATCATGTAGTTATAATTTCTAGGAACTGGTTGGTATTCAATTTTGAAATTTTATTGTTGCATTAAGTTAAAGGAAACAAAACCCCTAATATTTTATGGATGATTGTTTTTTAAGACAGAAGTACTCTCGGTGTTATAGTTTTCTGTGAGTCCTATAAATGGAATGAACATGTGGTATGAAGTTCAAGCTAATAAACTTCCATCACTTGTGTACAAACCTGGACCAAGAAAAACTAAGAAAGTTAGAATTATGGAATATGGGGAGGATGGTGCTAGGAGAAGAAGAACTTGTGTGTATTATACATGTAACAAATGTGATAAATTTGGTCACAGTATAATTTCATGCAAGAGCACTACTAAAAATTAAAATGCTTTGAAATGTAAGGTAATTTTCAAAACTTTTATTTTTATATGCTTGCACTGTCATGTTTTGATTATAACATGACTTCTTTTTTTATAGAGTAACCCCAAAGAAAACTTGGTTAAAGTTAATGCAGAGAAGAACAAGGCTAACACAAGTCATGTTGAACCAAAGAAGAACAATGCTGATGCAAGTCATGTTGAAGTTGATACAATTAAAGTTGGGGTTGTTGTAGGTCATGTTGTAGTTGATGTAGTTCAAATTGAGGTTGTTGCATGTCAAGTTGAGATTGATGTAGGTCAAGTTGAGGTTGATGCAGATCAGTTAAAAGTTGATGCAGATAAAGATGAACCAAGTATGGTTGAAGCAAGTTAGGTTTAATCAAGTGTGGTTGAAGCAAGTCAGACAAAACCAAAACAAAATAAGAAGAAGGTTATGCAAAAGCCTTCAAAGAAGAATAAAAAACCTACTGTGAAGCTAAGTGATCAGTGCATTTTAATGCACATTCTTCTATATTTGTACTTAGGCATTCCCATAGTTTATTTTGTTTATTTTTCTATTTTATGATGTTTTTAAAATTTAGTTTAATTTGTGCCTTTATTTGATTTTCATATTTTATTTTAAGCATTAGCAGCTTTCAATGAAAAAATCATAATTGGAGCTACGGGAATCGTATCGATGTGTTCTAACATGCGTTGGAAAGCTGAGAGAAAGATCTGCAACTTTCATGTTGGAGTCAGAGCTGATTCTGAGTGCATAGTTCCCATTAATTTGTTGAAGTTTCTGACTTTAGGAATTAAGTTGTTTTAGGTCATTTGTTGGGCCTAGGTTTTTCCCGAACCAGTTTGTTTTAGAATTGAAACCCTTATTCTGTTAAAAGGGATTTAGTCGATGTACTGTTCATCACATTCTATTCACGATTAAAAATTACTTTTGGCTTTTGTACGGCTTGTGATACGGTGGGAGAACTGACTTGATTGTTTTGCATTTTATCCCAAATGTCGCGGTTAGCAAGAGTCGCCACCGACTTTTCCTTTATCCAAAAGGAAAGGTGAAAAAGCACAGAAAAGACCTTTGAAATTGTTTCTTGAGTTCGGGGGGTAGATTATGAAAAGGGAAGGTATTAGCACCCTTTTCATCCATGGTTTTCCATGGACTCTTAGTTACTTGCTAGATCACTTGCTTTTGTTTGAAAGTGTGCTTTGTGTGGTTTTTGAAAGTATTTTGTAAAAGAGGCCATTGTTTAGGAAATATTTGTAATGATTCTCGTTTGTAAGAATTTATACAAAGATGTTGATATTTTTGAAAATGTTTTCAATGTTTGTAAGATGTTTGGAAATGTGTGTGTTTATTTTGAAAATAGCAAGGATATTTGTTTTGAAATGGAGAAAGTAATTAAGAGCAATCTACCTACTCAAATTTCTTTCTTGTTCATTTTCTTTTCCTTTGATATTGTTGTCTTACCATTGATTTGCTAAGCAACCCTATCTTTGGATGTAAACGGGACGGGCGTGGGTCATCCTATGGCCATGATTAGCAATTTTGCAAGGTATCTTAGCATTTTTGAGGGACTAAGATCATTTTGTAAGGCAACTTTGAATAGCGTCATCGAGGTACTATGATCTTATATTTGTTTTTTTTTTCTAAGACACCTTACATGCGTAATATATCCATTTTGTATAAGGCAACCAAGTGGGATAATCCTAGGAACTTATCAGCATAGACTTGGCACTTATGACAAGTCCGAGAATGCTGATAACAATCGGCTTCCATAGTAGACCAATAATATCCATCCCGTAGGATCTTCTTTGCCATGGTGTGTCCATTGGAATGAGTTCCGAAGGTACCTTCATGTAAATCTGCCATAATCCTCTCTACCTCTCTCCTGTCCATACATCGCAGTAAGGTTGAGTCATGGTTACGCTTGTAAAGGATCCCATTACTAATGAAGAACTTTGCAGCGAACCTTCTCAAGAACTTCTTATCATTAACAAATGCACCCTCGGGGTACTCTTGAGCCTCAAGATACCTCTTTACCTCGTGAAACCAGGGTTTATCTGCTACCTCTTCAGTATCAACATCACAACAATGTGAGTGTTCGTCCAACCTCTCGATGGTAATCTGGGGAGCTTCATTGTCCCACCTGATCTTGAACATAGAATACATGGTATCTAGCACGTCTGCTAACTGATTCTCCTTTCTTGGGAAATGTTCAAAGGTTATCTCCTCCAAGTGCGGAAGTAATGTCAACACATACTCCTTGTAAGGAATAAGATTTGGGTGCTTCATATCCCACTCTCCTTTGATCTGACTGATCACTAGAGCGGAATCTCCGAATATACTTAAGAACTTAATCCTTAGGTCAATAGCTGCTCGAAGACCCATGATGCATGCTTCATACTCCGCCATATTATTGGTGCAGTTAAAACATAATCGGGCGGTGAACGGAGTATGACAGCCTTCAGGAGATATGATCACAACGCTGATGCCATTACCCAATGCGTTCGAGGCTCCATCAAAATACATAGACCATCGGGATCCTTCCTCAGGTCCTTCATCCGGTCCAGGTTCTTCACAGTCGATCACCAACATGATGTTCTCATCCGGGAATCCGAAATTCATGGATTGGTAATCATCTACGGCCTGATGCGCCAAATGATCTGCCAACATACTTCCCTTGATTGCTTTTTGGGTTGTGTATTGGATGTCATACTCAGTTAAGATCATCTTCCATCTTGCTATTCTTCCAGACAAGGCGGGCTTTTCGAAGATATACTTGATTGGATCCATCTTTGATATCAATAGGGTAGTGTGAGTCAGTATATACTGTCTCAGTCGGCGAACAACCCATGCCAAAGCGCAGCAAGTTTTCTCGAGCAACAAGTATCGGGTCTCGCAGTCGGTAAACTTTTTGCTAAGGTAGTAAATAGCGTGCTCTTTTCGGCCAAACTCGTCATGCTGCCCCAGCACGCACCCCATTGAATTATCCAGTACAGTCAAGTATAAGATCAAAGGTCTTCCTTCAACTGGAGGCATCAGAATAGGTGGCTCTTAAAGATATTCTTTGATCCTTTCGAAAGCGGTCTGACATTCATCATTCCATTTTACCACTTGATCTTTCTTCAGCAGCTTGAAGATTGGCTCACAAGTAGCAGTCAGATGTGAAATGAATCGGGAAATGTAATTCAGACGTCCCAAAAAGCCTCTAACTTCCTTTTCTGTGCGGGGAGTTGGCATCTCCTGTATAGCCTTTACCTTTGCGGGATCCACCTGAATACCTTTATCACTAACGACGAAACCCAGCAGCTTACCAGACCTTACCCTGAAGGTGCACTTGCTCGGGTTTAACCTCAGCTTGTATATTTTCAACCCGTCGAACAGTTTCTGGAGATGGTCAAGGTGTTCTTCTTAAGTCTGGGACCTTGCAATCATATCATCAACGTAAACCTCAATCTCATGGTGAATCATGTCGTGGAACAAAGTGACTATGGCGCGCTAATAAGTTGCCCCAACATTCTTCAACCCGAAAGGCATTACCTTGTAACAGAAGGTTTCCCACTGTGTAACGAAGGTTGCCTTCTCCTTGTACTCGGGAGCCATCTTAATATGATTGTAACCAGAAAAACCATCCATAGAGGACAAGACCTTATGTTGCGCGGTATTGTCGACCATAACATCGATGTGAGGCAGCGGGAAATCATCCTTGGGGCTCGCCCTGTTCAGATCCCTATAGTCCACACACATCCGTATCTTACCATCCTTTTTAGGCACCAGAACCACGTTGGCAACCCTCTGCGGGTAAGAAGTAACAGCTAGAAATCCGGCGTCAAACTATTTCATGACCTCAGCTTTGATTTTCTCAGACATCTCAGGGCGCATACGGCGAACCTTCTGCTTTACTGGAGGGCAGTCTTCTTTAGTCGGCAGTCGGTGTACCACAACGTCAGTGTCCAAACCAGGCATATCTTCATAAGACCAGGCGAAGATCTCAACATAGTCGCGTAGTATCTGTATCAATCGTTGCTTGACACTAGGCTCCAGATTCGCACCTATCTTGACTTCTTTCCTGTCTTCCTCGGTACCTAAATTCACTGATTCCACTGGCTCTTCATGAGGCTGTATGGCCCTCTCTTCCTGTAGTAATAGTCTAGCAAGTTCCCCGGGCACTTCACAATCATCCTCACCTTCGTCCTCAGCTTGGTTGATCGGATTTTCGAAGTCATAACTGGCAGTAGCAGAGTCGTTATCAATGGAATCCAGAGTGGATAGGGATCTGCATTATGATATGTGAGTGTGTGTAAGACAATAGATGTTTTGATAAAGTGCGACATAGAAAAGAAAAACAAGGAGCAAAATTTGTAATGCAAGAAAACGTCCAATGCTTTATTGATGATATATGAAAATGACAAATAATAAGCCGTCACAACCAAAGCCAAGGTGCCCCGGGCAAGACACCGGGCCGTAAAGTTTCAAACTGTCTGTTACAAATCTCAAAACAAAAGTCTATTACTGTGTAATAAAAGAAACGGGCATGAAGTCTTTCATCGTCCAGTTGTTCAATCCACCGTTGGTAGTCGGGTAAATCCAGCTGTCGATATCTGACTCTTCTTCATCATCTTCAATTGCATTCACTTCTTGATTACTGATATGCAGAGGAGGTCTTCCAATTTGCGCGCGCTGAACAACCCTTTGAGCTTCTACAATAAAGACCAAACCAAACTTGTCAGTTTTGTGTGCAAAGTCAGGGAGCTGACCCCAATTTGTACACCCACCTTTCTTAATTACAGCCCTGGCATCCTTGAGGGAAGCCATCTTCATCGGAGGTTTGTCAGTAACAACTTCAGTCGACGCCAGAGTCTGGGGGACCTCTTCAAAGTTCTGACACGGGGTTTCGATGAACTCTCCATCCATCTTCATATAGAGAAAGGAATTAAGATGACTCACCATGTACTCCTCTTCACCTTGCACCATAACAATCTTCCCTTTTACTGGATATTTCAACATTTGATGGAGCGTAGAAGTCATTGCCCCAGCCTTATGAATCCAAGGGCGACCCAGCAAGCAAGAATAAGATGGTCGGATGTCCATCACATAGAAAGTAGATGCGAAAGTCTTAGAGCCAACTTTAACAGGGACGTCCACCTCCCCATGCACCATCCTTTTTGAACCGTTGAAAGCCCTGACCACAATATTACTCGGCTTCAGAACCAAACCTTCACAGTCCAGACGGTCTAATGCTTTGTTTGGCAAAACATTTAATGAGGACCCAATATCCACCAGTACATGGGCCAAAGTAGTGCCCCTGCACTCGATCAAGACGTGCAGAGCATCATTGTGATTTCTTCCTTTAGCAGTTAGATCTGCGTCTGAGAAAC